AACACCATGCTGCAAAAACATGATTCCGAAGCATGAATTCTCAAGGATTCCTATGATTTTTGCTTTGGGTCACCCCAACATCACCATCATGGTGAAGCATGGATCCTCATGGATCCTTGAGGTCTTTGCTTTGGTTCACCCCAACATCACTATCAAATCATATATCATGTCCATGGGCACAGCTTGCATTAGAGAAATCACGGATCCACAGCTTCGTGGCAACACCATGCAGCAAGAACATGGTTTTGAAGCATGGATCCTCATAGATGCTCAGGATTTTTGCTTTGGGTCACCCCAACATCACCATCAAATCACATATCATGTCCATGGGCACAGTGTGCATGAGAGAAATCATGGATCCACGGCTTTGTGGCAACACTATGCAGCAAAAACATGGTTCTGTGGTGCAAGCTCTGTTCATGGATATAATATGTGACTGGATGGTGAGTTTGGGGTGACCCAACGCAAACCCCCCTATGATCCATGAGTATCCGTGCTTCAGATCCATGTTTTTGCAGCACGGTGTTTCCATGAAGCTGTGGATCTGTGATTTCTGTGGTGCAAGCTGTCACCATGGACATGGTATATGATTCAATGGTGAGTTTGACATGACCCAATGCAAAAACTGTGAAGATTATGAGGATCCATGCTTCAAAATCATGTTTTTGCAGGAGAGTTTCATCAAGAAGCCATGGATCCCTGATTTCTGTGGTGCATGCTCTCCCCATGGACATGACATGTGATTTGATGGTGAGTTCGTGGTGACCTAATGCAAAAATCCTGAGGATCCATGAGGATCTGTTCTTTTGTTCCATGTTTTTGCTGCATGGTGTGCCATTTATTTCTGTGGTGCGAGCTCTGCTCATGGACATGAAATGTGACTTGATAAGTTTTGTGTGACTCAGTACAAAAACCTTGAGAATCCATGAAAACCCATGCTTCAGAACCACGTTTTTGCAGGATGGTATGGATCCATGATTTCTGTGGTGCAAGCTCTGCCCATGGACATGATATGTGATTTGATGTTGATGTTTGGGTAACCCAACAGAAAAATCAGAAAAATCATAAGGATCCATGAGTATCTGTGGTTCAGAACCATGCTTTTGCTCCATGGTGTCACCACAAAGCCGTGGATATGGGACTGTTGTGGAACAAGCTGTAGCTATGGACTTGATATGTGGTTTGATGGTGAGTTCATGGTGACCAAACTCAAGAATCCTGAGGATCCGTGCTTTGGATCCATGTTTGTGCTGCATGGTGTTGCCATGAAGCTGTGGATCTGTAATTTCTGTGGTGCAAGCTGTGGCCATGGATAGGAGATGTGATTTGATGGTGATGTTGGCATGACCCAATGCAAAAAAACCCCCTGAGGATCTATGAGAATCCATGCTTTGGAATCATGATTTTGCACCATGGTGTTGCCAGGAAACTGTGGATCTGTGGTGTTTGTGGTGCAAGCTCTGACCATGGACATAATAAGTGACTTGATTATGAGTTTTGTGTGAGCCAATACAAAAACCCTACAAATCCATGAGGATCCATGCTTTGGAACCACATTTTTCAGGATGGTGTCACCACAAAGCTGTGACTCTATGATTTCTGTGGTTCAAGCTCTGCCCATGGACATGATATCTGATTTTATGGTGAGTTTGGGGTGATCCAGTTCAAAAAACATTAGGATCCATGAGGATGCATGGTTTGGAACCATGTTTTTGCTGCATGGTGTCGCCACGAAGCTCTTGATCCATGATTTCTGTGGTGCAAGCTGTGGCCATGGACATGGCATGTGATTTGATGGTGATGTTGGGATGACCCAATGCAAAACCCCTGAGGATCCATGAGGATCCGTGCTTCAGAACCATGTTTTTTCAGGATGTTGTCACCACAAAACTGTAAATCCATGATTTATCTGGTGCAAGCTCTGGCCATGGACATAATATATGATTTTGTGGTGAGTTTGGGGTGACCAAATTCAAAAACAGTTGGAATCCATGAGGATCCATGGTTTGGAACCATGTTTTTGCTTCCTGGTGATGCCACAAGCTGTGAATCCATGTTTTCTGTGGTTCAAGCTATAGTTATGGACAGGATATGTGATTTTATGGTGCTTTTGGGGTGACCCAATGCAAAAACCCTGAGGGTCTATGAGGATCCCTGCTTTGGAACCACATTTTTGCAGGATGCTGTCACCATGAAGCCATGAATCCATGACTTCTGTAGTGCAAGCTCTGCCCATGGACGTAATATATGATTTGATTGTGTATTTGGGGTGAAAAATTCAAAAACCGTAAGGACCCATGTTTTTGCTGCATGGTGTCACCATGAAGCCGTGGATCCATGATTTGTATGGTGCAAGCTGTGGCCGTGGACATAGTATGTGATTTGATGGTGGTGTTGGGGTGACCCATCACAAAACCCATGAGGATCCATGAAGATCTGCGCTTCAAAACCTTTTTTTTTTTTGCAATTGGGTGCTGCCACGAAGCTGTGGATCTGTGACCTTTGTGGTGTAAGCCGTGGCCGTCATATCTGATTTGATGGTGAGCTTGGGGGGAACCAAAGCAAAAATCCTAACGAACCCTGAGGATCCATGGTCCGAAACCATGTTTTTGCTCCATGGTGTCGCTATGAACCCATGGATCTGTGATTTCTGTGGTGCAAGTTCTGCCTATGGATACAATATGTGATTTTATGGAGATTTTAGGGTGACCCAAAGCAAAAATCATGAGGACCCATGAGGATCTGTGCTTTGGAACCATGTTTCTGTTGCATGGTGTCACCATGAAGTAATGGATATGTGATTTTTGTGGTGTGAGCTCTGTCCATGGACATGATAGGTGATTTGATATTGTGATATTGTGATAACCCTATGCAAATACCTTGAGGATCAATGAGGATCCATACTTTGGAACCTTTTTTTTTTTTTTTTGTTTTTGTGGTGCCATGAAGCCGGGGTTGTGGGATATGTGTGATTTTTGCTATACAATCTGTGGCTATTGATATTATAGGTGACCTGATGGTGAGTGTGGGATGACAGTACAAAAATCATGAGGATCCATGAGGACCCATGTTTTGGCACTATGTTTTTGCACTGTTGTGGGGCCACAAATCCTTGGATGCATGATTTTTGTGGTGCTGCCTATAGACTAAGACATGGTCTATTGTATGATGGTGGTTTCATTTAATTTCAGTGTAAAAATCATATGAATTTATCTGTGCTTTGGAACCGTGTTTTTGTTGCTTGGTGTCGCCATGAAGTCGTGGATCTGTGATTTTTGTGGTGTGAGCTCTGCCCATGGACATGATAGGTGATTTGATCATGATGTTGGGGTAACCCTATGCAAATACCCTGTGGATCCATGAGGATCCGTGCTTTGGAATTATGTTTTTGCTGTGTTGTGGGGCCACGCATCTGTGGATGCATGATTTTTGTGGTGTTGCTTATAGTCTAGG